GCTCCTCACTTGTACTCCCGTTTCATGCTGCGACGACGACGCTTGGCACCTTTTTACAAGGCAAAAATGAGAAAAGGGGGAAAAAAAAAACCCCAACAAAACCCCCACCCGGGGTAGCTCTCCTCGGACTTTGAAGTGTTTCAAGTGATACAGTGAAGGCTTGTGTGCCAAAGCGTGTGCGCGCCTGGGCTTTGTTTTTCTTCAAGCTGTTTTTAAGGTTGGCCTCGGCCTTGTGGTGAACGTGACCGTCCTGCCCCCGCAGGGCCTTTGGCGAGAGGTTTAGTTTGCGTTTTTCTGGCTGTTCTGAAAGCAATTCCCCCTCAAAGCGGGCGTTTCGCGCTCTAACCGGGCGGGTGTTGAGGACGGGTTTGCCGCCCGGGAGAGGAAGGCGCAGCCTCCGCCTGCCCGACGGCCGACTTGGTTTGGGTTTTCTTCGGTTTAACCTTTCGGCAGAGTCTGTCGGGTTGATTGCAGCAGCTCAGCCGCCCCTTTAAGCCTTAACGAGAGAGCGTTCGGGTCTCAGTGAGCCCGTTTCCCCTCTTCCAAGTCGGGATCCTGCGTGGTCGGAGAAACGGCTGGGCCGGTGTCGGGGAGATGATGCGGAAATCGCCCGCCTCGTGCGTGCCGTTGGCCGCGGATGAATCCTTTTCCCCAGCACAAACGGAGAGAGACCTGCTTACGGGAGAAGGGGGGAGCCCCGGGTGATGGAGGGAGTGTGTGCGGTTGTAGGTGGATCCGTAGAGTGTCGGGAAGGCAAGCGGGAGGGCGATACGAGGCTGCAAGCAGAGAGGTTGGGAAGCGGATTCCTGTTTTATTCTCCTCTCGGAGAAACTCAGCCCCTTTGGCAGCGGGGTGGGGGGTTTCCTTACGGCGGTGCTGGGACACATCCCGTTTTTGGAGATGAAAGCCGGCGGTGCTGCTCCGCTGTCACTAAGCGTGGGGGTGAAACCCCGGGTGCCGCGTGGGCACAGGGACCCCGCGCTGAGGGCTCTCTCCACCCTCCGGAGCTCTGTGCCATGCTGGTGGCAGCGCTGGGCTCCTCCTGCTCCCTGGGCCGTTGGGGCCAGCGTGACGCTTGGGCTTGTGACGTGGTTTAGTTCGGTTCACGCCGTGGTGGTTGGCGGAGGCTGCGTTAGGGAGGGTCCTGGGGTTGTTCAAGGTGTTTAACCACCCCAGAACCTCAGCAACTTTTATTTTGAGGCTTGATACGTTGCGAGAACGCTGGGGAAGGAGCGTCCTGCTCTCTGCCCGTCTCCTTCCCACCGTCCTGAAGCCGATTTGTGCTGAAACCCAAAACTGCCGGGGCTACAGCGCCCCGTGGGCCGCGTGTGGCGGGCACGGAGCGGGGGGTGGAGCC